ATATACATATATACATGCATATATAGGGATGGTGTTTGTAGTGTGCAAGTTGGGTATATAAATAAATAAATAAGTTAATTATAATTTCAATGCTTCTTCCACTTGTCACTTCCTTTTTTTTTTTGTGGCATACCCACTATACTTGTCTACTAATCACCCCCTATCACTGGCGGAATTTTGATGGGGCATAGGGGGCCGTTGACCCCCCAAGAATTTTGTTTTTTTTTTTTATAGATATTTGGTACTAATTTTTTTTAATATTACTTTTCCCCCCCCCCCCCCCCCCCAAAAGTTTTGTAAAATATTTATCTTGACCCATTAAGTTTTTTGTTTTTTCTCCAAAATCTTATATAAATTATAGATAAATATCTCATATTTAATATAAAATATAAAATAATGGGTTTAAACTTGTATTATTTTAAATAAAATATATGAATATAACTTATTTTAGATATTTTTTATCTAACGCCCACAAAAAAAAGAAGAGATCGTCCCATAAATTTCCGAAATATTAAGTGCACTGTATCATAAGAATAAATAGAAATATATATGAATATATATAGATGTATAAAAAAAGATATATATATATATATATATATATATATATATATATATATACATATATATATACATATACATATATATATACATATACATATATATATACATATACATATATATATATATATATGATATTTTAATTAAAAATTAGTTATATAAACTTTTTTTTGCAATTTTTTTCTGCACCTACATTTCCGCCCCTGCCCCCTAGTAAGAATACTTATCTATTTCTCTCTCTCTTTTTATTCCACCACCGTAACCCATCTTCATTATCCTCCATAACCAAGAATATGAAGAATACTCCTCTCTCTCTCTCTCTTCTTTTTCTTTCGGCCGAAGCAAACACCACCATAAACCACCAAGAAATATTACCAAAAAATTCCATCTTTCCACCATAATCCTTTAAGATATTTCTCATCTCTAAATCTTCTCCATAGCCAAATCTCTTGAGTTTCTCCAAGAACTTCATAAAACCCACATCTCCATCATAAGCCTTCTTGAATCCTTTTATTTTATATTCCATATAGGTAAGAAATTATGATTTCTTGATGCAATAAGAAGGTATCAATAGTATAAAAAGAGTTTTCAGAATTTCTTAAAAGACTTGGAGAGATTTCGAAAAATTAGGGCTTTTTGGGGAAAAATGGAAAAGATGTGTTGAGTGTTGATTTCTTGTTCTTGCATGCATCATTTATGTTGGTAAGTGGTAGATACAAGTTTTATTGGCCAAAAGCATTAAAAATTTCAGATTTCAAAAAGGAGTTGCAAGAAAAATAAAATTTTGAACTTTTATGGGGTTGCATGTGTAGATCGAAAGATTTTTGGGTCAAATCTGGAATTTTTAAGAAGTCAGTCCTACATGTGTTTCCAATCTGTTTTTCAGCATTAATTGAACAAATTTTCGGATTTAAAAAGGTTTTACAATAAAAAAAAAATATTTTTGAACTTCTAGTGGTCTTGCATGTATAGATCTAGAGATTTTGGGGAAAAATATGTAATTTTCGAAACTTCTGCCTCAAGTAACTTTTTAACTTTGTTTTCTGCATTTATTGAAGTAAACTTTTCAGATTGTTAGGGGTTTTTCATGAAAAAGTGCATTTTGAACTTTTAGTGTGGTTGCATGTGTAAATCTTGAAACTTTGGGGTCAAAACTGTAATTTTTGAAAAATCTGTCGTTTCTAAATTTTGGAATCTGTTTCCCAGCGAGTATTAAATGGGAAAAAGTTTTTATTATGTTTTGTACTTTAATTTCCATGTCTTTGAATAAATGTTTATGAGTGATGAAATTTGGGATTGTGCACCTTGATATACTGCATGGATGTGGTTTAATTGCTGTTGGAATTTATTTGGGATGAATTATTACCTAAAAGTGGTAATAAGTTCATTAAATAAAAGATAAAGATGGCTTTGCGTTTAAAGCATGATTTGGGTATTAAATGTGATGTTTTAAATGTGGTGGTTGCATGTGTGTGTGTGATGTATGTGTATGTCAGTATGTGTGTGTGTGTGTCTGTGTGTGAGTTTGGGAATTTTTGCCCAAATTATAAATATGTGGTAATTTGTGATATTTGTGTGGTTTTGTGGCACTTGATTGATATTTGTGATGTATGGGTTTCTCACATTATTGTTATAAGCATGATTTTAAAAACAATTCATTTCACGGTTTTTAAAATTGAAAGATTAATGGAATGCTGGATAATAAACAATTCAGATATAGAGGGCCGGTATCCAACTAAGATGAAATGTTGTGGTTTGATTCCACTTAGTGAAAACGGGCTCGTAACAGGTTTATTATTCAGGTACATAAATTAATCTTTCACGGATACGATAAAACGAAAAATGTGTTTTTCACGATTTTCATAAAAAGGGCATTTTAGTCATTTTGCATAAGTACGTGTTTATGAGTGAATGATGTGATTCCGTGAATTATGTGATTTAACGTTTGTCTTGTGAAGTTTGGAATGTGGGTAAGGATGGATATATAATATTATATATTACATATAACGTATTTTCAAAGTTCGATATTTAATCGGATTTCTTAGATGCCTTTTAATTGCAGGTAGTAGTATTAGTACCCCTCCACCGGAATGGATCGAGTAGCGGATCGAGGTCTTGCTCTGGTTTTTGGAAGTCGTACGAGGACCTATGAACGATGCTAAGATATTATGCTTATTTTGGTGATTTAATATTAAACGTACTTATTTCTCTTTTGTATCTTTTGCTTATTCGAATGAACTTGAAAACCGGTATGAATCGTACTTGACTTTTTATTATTATGAAAACTTCGTTTAGTAATTAGTTAAAATTCCCTATAAATATTCACCAAAATACCTTTTCAAAACTCTGATTCTTTTCGAACCAACGATAAAATCGATTGGTTGATAGTGTAGCACTCGAACGAAAACCCTCCTCTCGAAACTTGTTTAAAACGAAGTCTTTATTCGACAAAGTAACCTACGAAAGTTTTCGAAAAATGCAAAGCTTTTAAATACCCTAAAGAAGATATTTTTAATAATTGCATTTTGTCCCATTCCAAAGTTTTAAAAATTACAAAGAGATCCTTTGCTTCCGCTAGATAAATGAATATCCGATAAACCGGTTCGATTTGTCGCCTGACTATAAGGGGGGTGCTACACAAATTCTTTCAAAATTCATTTTTAAATTACACGAGTTGATCCACATTGCCCTAGATTTTTAACATTTATTATATATAGATTTGTTAATATTGAATTTTCAATATATAATAATATTTATATGAGAATTATGAGTTGATTTAACATAACTTATATAAGTTTTATAATCATTATACATTGTAAAGTTGTGTAAATATGTTTATTGTTAGGGAATTTTCAATAATGTGTTGTGTCCCAATGGTAAGTATTTTTGCAAGTTAAAAGGGTTATAAGTTCGAATCCTATAGGATATATTTTTTGACTGATGGTTTTTACGAATGATGGTATAATTTACTTTACAAATTCAGCAATAAATAGATTTAAAAATTTATAATATTACAAGGGGTACAAAAGACATTTCGCATAAACTTTATTAATTATTTTTTTAAATATTAAACATTTGTAATAACAGTGTTTTAGACAATACCCAAATCATGAAAAAATCAATCATGTTGCTAGGACACGTGGGGCGATTATTTGAAAGGCATATCTCATATGAGTTGTGTTGTTGGGATCTCACTCTTTACAAATCTGATTATTCTATGTACTATATTATCTCATAGTACTGTATTCCCTTCTCTACAAGAATATATGTCATTGTAAAGGCTAAAACTATGTAAAATATAATCTCATGCAGATTAAAATTGATTATATAAAAAATAACTAGCCTGGAGTCTTAATCCAGCCACATTCAATTTCAGTTATTATAAACACCATTCACACAAATAGAAAAGAAAAAAAAAACACATCTTACACAAATTGTCATCCATATATACACATTTCAGCTACTGCGGATACAAGTCGCCCATAGAAGAGTATGTATTGTTGGGCGATTGAGTGTTGGGCGACTCCAGGTGAAGGATTGAAGTCGTCCTTGAAAAGTAAAATCCGGGCTCCGTTGGAATCGGAAGCGTTATCGTGGAACTATTAAGCATTACAACAACTGAAGCCATTGTTGGTCTGCTAGCAGTATTTTGTTGAACACACAACAAAGCAATGTGAATGCATCTCACCATGTCTGGTTGGCCCCCGTTGGTTTCACTCAAGGTTCGGTCGATCAAATTTGAAATTGTTCCCTCGCGCCAACTTCTCCAAGCCTAATGAAAAAAAAATTTATAAATTGTTTTGCTTTCGAATAATGTTACTATAATATTTGTGTTCACAATAACGTCAAACAAAGGTTTAATTAATTTGTTCACAAATTATTCTCACACAGCTCAAAAGATCTCCTCTATCCTCCTCATTCTGGGTAAATATCTTTCTGCCAGTTATGATCTCCAGGACTATGACTCCGAAGCTAAATACGTCGGACTTGACAGAGAAGTGACCGTACCTTGCATATTCTGGTGCCATATATCCACTGCAATATACAATATCATGATTAAATGAGAAATAGACATTTTGGATAATGAGCATATGTAAAAGGAGTTAGTGTGTTAGAGCAAACTTACTAGGTTCCAACGATTAGGTTCGTACTTTCAATAGTTGCATCGGGCACAACTAATCTTGCCATTCCAAAATCTGCAATTTTAGGATTCATATTTCCATCAAGAAGGACGTTGCTTGCCTTGAGATCACGATGTATAATCATGAGCCTGGAATCTTCATGCAAATATAGAACTCCCTTTGCAATACCTACTATGATTCTATAACGACTATTCCAATCCAATTTTGAGGATTTTGTTCGATCTACATGTCCAATTATTAAGGTACGTATGTTAGAAATGTCTTGCATAATAACATAACAAAATGATAAAAATAAAAGTAATATATCTACCAAATAAAATTTGGTCTAGACTTCCATTCCGGACGAACTCGTATACAAGAAGACGCTCGATTCCTTCAATGGAGAAACCCAAAAGTCTAACCAAATTCCTATGTTGGAGCTTGGCTAGTAACAAGACCTCATTCTTGAATTCCTGATCACCTTGACCTGAATCCTTCGACAATCTTTTCACTGCTATTTCTTTCCCATGTACCAGTTTTCCCTGAAATCATAACTCGTTGAAAAATAGGTATAGGTCCTATGTACTTTAATAATGACGCGATTAAATGATCAATGTACCATATAAACAGCTCCGAAACCACCTTGGCCAAGTTTATTATCATCAGAGAAATTATTGGTTGCAGCTCTTATTTTCCCAAAGTGATGTTGTATGGATTCAATGGTACTAATATCACCCGAAACTTCACCAATAAAAGGGAATAGAATAATCATGTTTGATTCATATTGACGACAAATTTATTTAAAAGCCAACACAAGAAAAGTACAAATGGATATCTTAATAATACAAAATTAACTTACAGTCGGGATTGATAAACTCCTTTGCCTCGTGTTTCATTCTTTTCTTGACAAAGATGCCAACACCAAGAGCCAAAAGTATAAATGCAACAATGGGCACACAAATGATGATAATTATATTCATATTTTTTGCTGCAAAATTAAGTGAAAATAATTTGTCAACTTACCTAATTTTAATATGATTACGAGACAATATATTGATAAATTTGAAGCTTTTGATATGATTAGATTACTGATCCGAGAACACACATTGGATTGTCTTATAGGGCAAATGTGTTAGAGTAGGTGACCAACAAGCCAACATGTCGTTGTTGTTACAGTAGATGACCAACAAGCCAACTTGTGGTTGTGGTCTTTCATTTATTCTTGTAATAAATAATCATTGTTTCGTTTAATGATAAAACAACTTGACATTCTATATCTTTGTCCCTTGCATAAGCATAGATATAGTCCTTACAGTTATTACAATTACTTATATTTGATCTATTAGGATCATGAGATATTTACTTAAGTATTATAACTGTTAAACTGTGTTTCTAGTGGAAGGGTTACGCCACCAATGAGGATATCAGCCTTTCCCACTTAAGAGACTAGCACTTAGTGTATGTGTATTGTGTCTCATCAGTAAACGGTATTGTGATATCGGCATAAAAGTGCGTTCTCGTAAGTTGACGAGTTCACTGAACACCCTCAGCCTAGAAATCTCTAAGTTGTTCTTAATAATCGAGTAGAGATCTCTATGATATAGTTGTACACCATTAGTCCTCAAGAACTAGACATCACCGTGACTTCACTAGAGGACCAGCTGTATCGTGACCTGCCCCTGAGTTCCACCGAGGGCCGCCCCAAGTGCCAGTGTCCGTGCAGTCCAAAATCTAGTGGGAGGTATGTGCATTGTAGTCGGGGATTCAATCAATAGAATAGTCTTAGATGTCCTGTGTGTTCTGTAATCTTTAAGTCTCTGGCCAGAGCTGACTAAGTGATGATTAGGGAATTTGATTCTCTGAGTCATGCACGTACCGATTACAACACTTAGAACAATCGCACGATTATTGAACTATAAAGGAGGTCTCGATGAACCAATACCTCTAATTCAACCAGGACATATGTATCGAAGGGATCGTACTGTACGTTAACTATATCACATGGTTCTTCCAAGCACTTCATTTGTATCTAGGGAATCATGATGCGTAGTTGCTAGACGCCAATCTTGATTCGTTGGGTGATTAAATTGAAACGAGCTTCATCTTAATTAAAATTCTAGGGACGAGTTTAAACCGCAAAGAGTGTTGGGGCCACGACTAGCTTACACCTGAACCATCGAGGGTCACACTGCTCGTTTACTCGAGTTCTTTGAATAAACGGTCAGAGATAAAAATGTTTAACCTTTGCATAATTGGAAGTCAATACGATTGAGTTCAACATTCATAATTGGGAATCACGAATGAGAATAGGAAAAGGAAAGAACGAGGCGGTCATCTTAGTGAACTTTCTAAATTGGGAAGTATCCAAATTTGGCAGGTTCACTGAATTAGGGTTTCAAGTTTTAGAAATTGGAAATCGAGAATAGGCATTCGTAATGACGAGGGCATTTCAATTATTCCGAAAATATAATTGTTATAATTTTCCAATCATTGGTTTATGAGAAACGAGCAAAGAATACTAACGAACTTAAGTTGTTGGGTCTGGTCCAACTTAAGCCTGTTAGGGCTTATATACAAGACACAATAAATACAAGATTTATAAATCTTGTACACAAGCGAGAAACCCTAGCCGTTCCCCACCCACGTCCGCTGCCATCTCCACCGTCGCCGTCACCGTCGCCGTCGCTCTGTTTAAGTGTCAAAGTAGGTGACCAACAAGCAACTTGTGCTTGTGGTCTTTCTATTTCAACTTCTAATAACAATCTATTGAATATTAATGAAAGTTTATCTTTGAAATACTATATCTATTGATTCATTTATTTATGCATAGATATAAACCATATAGTTGCATTAAAATTACTATGAATTGATCTAGAAGAATCATTGGATGATTCATAAAATAAAATAACTGTTAAACACCACTAGTAGAAAAATGGTATTTTTACTACGATTTTTTATTTTGCTACATTCTAAAAGCATAACACAATGTACCTTTTACCAAGCGCCAATCTCGGAGTCGTAGTAAATGTTAGGATTTACAGTAGCAAAAAAATATTTGTTACGGCCAGTTAGCAAACATTTTCTCAGGCTCATATTCACTATGGAGAAAATTCATTGTAAAAGCGTAGCAATTTTTTTATACTATGAATTTGGTTTCTTATGCTAAAAAATTGTGTGGTATTAGTATTAGTATTAGCATTAGTATTAGTATTAGTATTAGTATTAGCATTAGTATTAGTATTAGCATTAGCATTAGCATTAGCATTAGCATTAGCATTTGTATTAGTATTAATATTAGTATTATTATTAGTATTAGTATTAGTATTATTAGTATTAGTAATAGTATTAGTATGAGTATTAGTATTAGTATTAGTATTAGAATTACTATTAGTATTAGCATTAGTATTAGTATTAGTATTAATATTAGTATTAGTATTAGTATTAGTATTAGTAGTAGTCTTAGTATTAATATTAGTATTAGTATTAGTATTAGTATTAGTATTAGTATTAATATTAGTATTAGTATTAGTATTAGTATTAGTATTAGTATTAGTATAAGTATTAGTATTAGTATTAGTATTAGTATTAGTATTAGTATTATTATTATTATTAGTATTAGTATTACTATTAGAATTAGTATCAAATTACTATTAGAATTAGTATCATTATTACTATCAGTATTAGTATATGTATGCGTACGAGTACCAGTATCAGTATCAATATCAGTATCATTATCACTATCAGAATAAGTATCACTATCAATATAATTGTCAATATTAGTATTAGTATTAGTACGAGTATTAGTATCAGGGTTAGTATTAATAATACTATTAATATTAGTATTAGTATTAGTATTATTAGTATTAGTATTAGTATTAGTATTAGTACTAGTACTAGTATTAGTATTAGTATTAGTATTAGTATTAGTGTTAGTATTAGTATTAGTATTAGTATTAGTATTAGTATTAGTATTAAAATTAGTATTAATATTAGTATTAGTATTAGTATTAGTATTATTATGAGTATTAGTATTAGTATGAGTATCTAGTATTAGTATTCGTATTAGTATTTGTATTATTAATACTAATTCGTATTAGTATTAGTATGAGTATTCGTATTAGTATTAGTATTAGTATTAGTATTAGTATTAGTATTAGTATTAGTATTAGTATTAGTATTAGTATTAGTATTAGTATTAGTATTAGTATTAGTATTAGTATTAGTATTAGTATTAGTATTAGTATTAGTATAAGTATTAGTATTAGTATTAGTATTAGTACAGA